AGGGACCCGCTCAGCAGCCCACCCCCCGCGGCGGGCCGGGTCGGACCAGACCAGTCGCCGCTTGCTGGTCTCCGCGTTCCCGTCTCTCCCGCAGGTTTCGTTTCTGCTTCAAGTTCAACTTAGCGCGTGCGCAGTAGGAGACACTGGGATCACATCGCAGCAACCGCCGCCCGGAACTTCCGGTTTAGAAGGGTCCGTTTGTGGGTTTTTTGTTTGTTTCCCTTCCGCCTGCTCCTGGGTCCCTCCCCCCGCAGCAACCGCCGCCCGGAACTTCCGGTTTAGAAGGGTCCGTTTGTGGGTTTTTAGTTTGTTTCCCTTCCGCCTGCTCCTGAGTCCCTCCCCCCTCCGGGGCGTGGCCTGCCGTGAGATGCATGATGGGAGTTGTAGTGTTTTGGGGCGCTGCCGGCCTGTCATTGCGGGCTCTGCTCTGCCTACTTTGGGCGCGCGAGGTCTGCTGGGCAGGGGGGGACAAGGCGGCCGGGGCGGAGGTCGCCATTTTGAATTGCGAACCACTCCGGGGAAGCGGAGCGGGGGCTGCTGCGGCAACAGGAGCCGCCGCCTCCTTAATGGGTGAGAGGGCGATGGGGGGCGGGGCGCGCGTCCCAGCTGGGGCCTGCCAGGGCCAAGTAGCGGCGGGGCAGGCGGCCCCTGTCACCTTCACCGGCCGCATCACGCCCGCTCGTGGCTCTCGGGGGTGCTCAGCGGAGCAGGAGCCGCCGTGCCCCGGGCGAGAGGTCACCGCAGCCGGGTGACTGATCAGGTGACGGGGGCGACCCGGGAGACTCGATGTCGTTGGGCAGCGGGATCTGCCCGCCGTGGTCGTGACTGCTGGTTTCCTGCGGCCGTGCGTGGGCTGGCACCGCGGTGCCTGGCCTGCTCCCGAGCGGGGTCTCTGCCTCCCCGCCTCCGGGGTTGGTTGGGCCTCATCGCCGGCCAGCACCAGCGGGGCTTCAGTTCCCGACTTATAAACCCTTTCGAGGCCTGTTTGCAGAACAGTCAGTTCCTCAGTCCGGGGGCTTTGCGAGTCTCAGGTCTATAACCCCTGTGCCCCTTTGTATTTCAGTTCCATGGCCTCGCTGCTGTTTGCTTTCTAGGGGCACTTGCCCTCACTGAGGGGTTTGGATGGACTTCATAGGGGGTTGGATTAGAAACCATTTCAGAAACATCTTGAGTCAAACCTCTGGAACACCACAGGTTTACAGCGCTGTGATGGGAAGGAAGATCATTGCATGAGAGTATTCCTGGGGACCCGTAAGGTGTCATTTTGCCAGGAGCTGTATGGCCAAGTAACGAAGATGACCTGTTTTAAAGATCTATGTAGTGTTGCTATAGCTTTAGGTTGGCTCCAGGATATTGGAGAGTCAAGGTCGGTGAGATAATATCTCTTATTGGACTAACTTCTCTTGGTAAAAGAGAGCAGCTCAGTGGAGCTTGAAAACTTAAGAGCTTTCTGAAAGCTTGTCCCCTTCACAAACAGAAATTTGGGTAATAAAAGATGTTGCCTCACCAGCCTTGTGTGTCAATCGCAGTTTATTTTCTAGGTGTCAGGATGCAACAGACACGGGAAACAACCCTGAGGTTACAAAGTGAATAGACTTTAGCAGAAAAATGAAAAGTTGATAGTGAACTAAATACGTTAATTAGCAACAACCTGGACAAAAAGGCTTTTACACTCTTGGGAAACTTGATCTTTATTGTTGGTGGGAGAGAATTCAACATATAAGCACTTATCATGGTACCTAGAGCTTCCCCTTTGGGTGATTAGTCACTTTTTAGTTTTCACGCTGAATTTTTAGTTGTGTGAAAAAAGTACCACCTTACTCAGACATCCTTATGTGTGTTCAGTGTTGTTTGATTATTTTGATAACAAATACCAATCTTTTAATTTGCCATTGTGGTTGCAGCTAAAAATAGAGGTAGGATTTTAAATTTTTTTGCACATCAATAGAAATTTTAACTAAGTTTCAATCATTTACACTATTTTAAAACTGTTGAAGGCAATGGGTTAGAATATATATCATTGACTTTTTAATTTGGTTTCTGCAGAACCATAATTGTTAATGATGCTACATAAGAAGGAAAGGACTCTTGTTGATACTTGGATCCCAGATTGTTTGTGAGGTGGACATGTAAGACAGACAAACTTGTAAATAGAGTACAATTTAGTATATTTAGAAACTAACAGTGAACATAAATCTGTCATTTTCAGTCACTTTTTCACATGAAAAATGCCCTCGCTTTTGATGCACAATTTATCGCCCATGTGTTTAGAAAATGGTACATAATCAGCACTTCAGATTTTATTTTGATAGTGACTTGCAGCTCGTTCACAGCATAGTGTTACACGTTTTTTCCAGCCCACCTTCCTCAGATGGCTAGTAGCTTCATTTTCCAGTAGCTGAGGCTTTTAAGTGTCTTTCATGGTTAATCTTGGGTAGAATGCATTGAAATAGTCTTAAGACAGAATTTACAAAATACAGATCTTTAGTCACTATATTCTTTGTTTTTGGAATTTTGGCAATGTTAAAAATGGTCTAAGCCTTGCCGAAAAACACAGGAAGACACAGCCCATGCCCCAAAGGTTCATAATTCAAGAAAAAGGGACTTAGGTCTCAAAATACAGATTCTGGGAGGGATGTAAAAATCCCATTATTTATGTTATAGACGCCATGGCAAGCCCAGGAAAAGATAGTTATAGAATGAAGAGTTATAAGAACAATGCACTTAATCCTCAAGAAATGCGCAGACGGAGAGAAGAGGATGGAATCCAGCTTCGGAAACAAAAAAGAGAAGAACAAGTAAGTTTCTAACCATTAAATGTAATAAACATGGTTGTCAACCAAAAGCTAAGGATATTAAATGGTTAACTGATAAGTATGCTGGGAAGATGAAGTACATTTACTGGTTAATTAGCTCTTGCTGGTGAACCCTGTTGGTGGTCAGCCTCAACTGGGGAGGAGCTGGTGACAGGACTTCATGGCTGCCCCTTCAGGCTGGGTAGCAGGCCCTGAGTTAAAATGGTTAACCATTTTAATACCCCTACTGGGAGCTTTTCATCATAAAACTTTCTTTCAATATAGCATTCGTATCAACAGATTGATTTTTCAGTAACTATTTGTTTACTATCAGAGGGGTAGCCGTGTTAGTCTGAATCTGCAAAAGCGGTGAGCAGTCCTGTGGCACCTTATAGACTAACTGAAGTGTAGGAGCATAAGCTTTCGTGGGCAAAGACCCACTTCGTCAGATGCATGTCTATTTGTTTACTAGAGTTTAGTTTCAAGGAGGAAATCAAGATGCTAACAGATACTTTGTGTAACAAGAATTGGGAGCAGTCTGTTGAAGCGTAAATATTACCAGTCAGATTGATGTATCTCCAGTATATAAACAGATATAGGAAGCTAGCACAGGTTGGACCTCTCTGATCTGGCACCCTCAGAACTTAAGTGCTCTGGAACCAGGGAGTTTGCCAGACATGGGGAAAGTCAATGCTCCCCTGCTAGCCACTGCCTGCTCCTGGACTCCTCTCCCTCCTGGTCTTTAGCAGACTGCTCCTAGGTTAGGGTTCCAGCCTGCCCCCGCTGCTGCCCCAACCCCCTGGGGCTCTCTAGATGCTGTCAGCCTCGCTGCTGCTGGAGCATAGCACCACTGCTGGAGCTCCTCAGCTGCTGGGTTTCATGGCCGGAGCTGTGCAGCTGGGGCTGGATCTCATCATCCACCTGGCTCTGCGGCCAGGGCTGGAGCTTCGCATCCAAGGCTGGAGCGGAGGGCCGGGGACAAAGCTTCCTGGCCACTGCTGAGACCAGAATGCCCTGCAGTGCCACCCATCCCCGCTCCGCTCCCGCCCTCCCCCCAAGACACACACACTGGGTTGCCGGTGCCCCCTAATGTGCTCTTACCTCACCGCCAGACCTCCCTTTTCCTGGACTATGTGGTCCAGGAACATCTGTGGTCCATGCTGAACCACGGTTGTTGTCAGACCAGCGAGCCTCGGTTAAGGGAGGTACAATATGCAGTGACCTGTTGTGATGTCCATTTGGAAACTACTTTTTTTTCTTTACAGTTTCTCAGTGAACTGCATTAAAATCATATATGAATTTTTGTCAGTTATTTAGTAATAAAAAGTACTTTATCTAATATGTAATCGTCATATGTAAAAAGAGCACAAAATTCCTTGTGAAACTTTTTGGGGTCAGATGGTCAAGAAAAGCATACAATAAATTAGTGCAACAAGCACCATTATCCCAGTTTGGTATCTTTAAGAAAACGATCAGTACTAGGGATGTTAAGGACTAGTCGACTATCCTATAAGCAAAGAAATAGTCGACAGGATAGTTGATTAGTCCCTCCCCCTTGCTGCTTCTATTAGTACTTCAAAGTGGCAGCACCACACAGAGCCTGGCATCAGCTGACCAGCACTGCCCCTTTGAAATGCCACTGCAGTGTTTGAAAGCGGCAGTGCTGCATGGAGCCTGGGGTCACCCTATTGACTAACTGCATAGTCGCTTCAAAAATGCATTGACTATTCAATTAGTGAATTACTCCTACTTAACATCCTAATTCAATACTCAAAACCATTGAGAAATTGGTTCATATCATAAGCCGTCCATTGCAAAATCTATTTTGAATTATAAGGAATAAAATAGGAAAACTATAAAGAAAGGGAATTTTTCTTTGTTTTTTTTTAACCCTCTTACCTTTTATTATATATTTCTTCTAATTCAATAGATTTGAAAAGTGAAGGTACTACAATAGCTCTTTCTGGGCTTACAACACCTCGGTGTTTGGGTTTTTCCTTTCTTTTAGGATCCCTAGTTACAAGAGTGATTGTGGAGGAGAGATCGTATATTGTTATTGTTCAAACTCAGTTTCACATATTTTTAAAAAAAATAAAATTTAAAAAATGAAGAGATTTCTATTGCCCATCTTAACCTACATGCCATACTGTTTCATATGATCTAACTTGACTGTATGAGGTTAGGTCTACTCTATGCCAGAAATTAGACTTAAGATATATAATTCCAGCTAGGAGAATTGAGGAATGAGTCAACATATCGAATTTCTGGGGCCACTCCACTGTGATGTCGACAGAAGAAACTCTCCTATTGACTTCCCTTACTCCTCACAACTCTGAGGACTACCAGCATTGACAAGAGCACCCAACTGTTTAATTTAGTAGGTCCTTAATAGACTTGCTAAATTGAATCCCAGAAATGGATCACTGGACTGTCGATCTTCCCTGAAGTATAGACAAGGCCTTAGATTTGTGGTGTTTCTGAGAATTTTAGAGAGATTCTCATTAGTGCTTTGGAAACTTATTTTCTTTGAACTTATTTTAAAAAATTACCCCATTATATGCTTTCCACATTAGTCTCATAAATTTAAAAAAGCACAAAACAATGTAAAATTTTACTTTTTTTTGTTTAGTTATTTAAGCGCAGAAATGTTTCTCTCTTGGGAAATGAAGAGTCTATGGTAGAAAGCCCCATCCAGGATCCTGATATCAGCTCTACTGTGCCTATTCCAGAAGTAAGTAATACATAAGTATATTTAAATTATTTTACAAATGTGCTTAAAATTGCAAATGATACTATTTTTACATTTTTAGGAAGAAGTTATTACAGCAGATATGGTGCAGATGATTTTCTCAGATGATCCTGATCAGCAGCTCACAGCAACACAAAAATTTAGAAAACTGCTTTCTAAAGGTAAACGAGTGTTTTACTTTTTTATGCTTCTTGCTCTATGATCATCTTAGACACATTAGTCAAAATTCAATGTATCTTGAATTTGCAACTTCAAAAAATCAAATCTTGCTGGAGCTTCAAGCTATGTTTGAATCAGTTGAGTGGTCATGTTCATTTGGACATCATTGTTAAACGTGAAAAGATTTGTTACAGTAATGTTAATTCTTTTTAACATTTTTGTAAAGTACCTTATTTTTTTGTAGTACAAACCAGTACTTGTATAGCTACAAGTTCAAATTGGATTTCTGGATATCTTATTTTATTGGTATAGCAGACAATATATTTTAAAATTGATAAAGGAAATATATTTACAAAAATTCAGTTAGCTTGTGGAGTTGATTGCCACAATGTATAATTGAGGTAGAGAGCGGAGTAATATAGAGAGAAACACTATACCTTTACACTGATTTATGAGAACATTCAGAACATCATTAGATAAGTATAAAACTAAATTTGGGATGGATCTGAATCATCATGTATTAAGGTAGTGGTTCACAAACTTTTAAGGGTCATGTCCACCTTGCCCCTCTCTGCATTTGCTACCCTCCCCCTTTCCCAGGGCCGGGAGCTAGACTAACACTGAGGCTGGGGTCAGAGCCAGGATGGAGCGGAGGGTGGAGAGGGGCTGGTGTGTCTCCCCCACTGCTCTTCCCATCATGGGGGCTGGCCCCTCACCCCAAATAAATTTGGATCCTATCTAGGCTGGTCCACTTTTAGGTTTCTTGCACCTTCTTGTAAAGCATCTAGTAGCAGCTGCTGTTTAAAAACAAGTTAATGGGCTAACGGATCAGAGATCTGATCTTGCATGATAATTGCTGTCTCCTAATTAAACCATAAAACTTCCTCAAGCTAGCAAACAAAGTGAAAGACACAATTTGAAGTCTAGTCAATTTAAAATAAAACAAGTTTCAAGCAGTTTTATGTGGTTTATTTGCCAATTTATATAGGGAGCTTTTGTCATTTTTAAATATATAAAAGTGTGGTTTAAAAAAAAAAAAAAAAACACCCCAACAAAAAACAACTAAATGCTTTTTTGTCACCATGTAGTGGTTTCTGATTCTAACTTTGTTCTGCCTCGATAGAAAGGAGCATAAACTGCCAAATTAACTGTAAAAATGTAGTAAGAAAAGCCAAAAAGGAGTTTGAAGAACAGCTAGCCAAAAACTCAAAAGGTAAGAACAAAATGTTTAAGTACATCAGAAGTAGGAAGCCTGCTAAACAATCGGTGGGGTCCTTGGACAGTCGAGATACAAAAGGAGCACTTAAAGGCGAGAAAGTCATTGCAGAGAAACTAAATGAATTCTTTGCTTCAGTCTTCATGGCTGAGGATGTTAGGGAGATTCCCAAACCTGACCCATCCTTTGTAGGTGACAAATCTGAGGACTTGTCACAGATTGAAGTGTCATTAGAGGAGGTTTTGGAATTAATTGATAAACTTAACAGTAACAAGTCACTGGGACCACATGGCATTCACCCAAGAGTTCTGAAAGAACTCAAATGTGAAATTGCGGAACTATTAACTGGTTTGTAACCCATCTTTTAAATCAGCTTCTGTACCCCATGACTGGAAGATAGCTAATGTAATGCCAATATTTAAAAAGGGCTCTAGAGGCGATCCCAGCAATTAGACTGGTAAATCTAACGTCAGTACCGGGCAAATTAGTTGAAACGATAGTAAAGAATAAAATTGTCAGACACACAGAAGAACATAATTTGTTGAGCAAAAATCATCATGGTTTCTCTAAAGGGAAATCATGTCTTACTAATCTATTAGAGTTCTTTGAAGGGGTCAACGAACATGCGGACAAGGGGGATCCGGTAGATATAGTGTACTTAGATTTCCAGAAAATCTTTGACAAGGTCACTCACAAAAAGCTCTTACGTAAATTAAGCTCTCTTGGGATAAGAGGAAAGATCCTTTCATGGACTGAGAACTGGTTAAAAGACAGGAAACAAAGGGTAGGAATAAATGGTAAATTTTCAGAATAGAGAAGGGTGACTAGTGGTGTTCGCCAAGGGTCAGTCCTAGGACCAGTCCTATTCAACTTATTCATAAATGATCTGGAGAAAGGGGTAAACAGTAAGATGGTGAAGTTTGCAGACGATACTAAACTGCTCAAGGTAGTTAATATCAATGCAGACTGTGAAGAACTTCAAAAAGATCTCTCAAAACTAAGGGTACGCCTACACTCGCTCCCTAGTTCGAACTAGGGATGCAGATGTAGCCGACTGAAATTATTAATGAAGCGGGGATTTAAATATCCCATGCTTCATTAGCATAATCTCGTCTGCATGCTATTCTGCTCGCCAACTGATTCAAACCAGTAAGTGCGCTCAGGGATGCATTAGTTCAAATCAAACCCTTTGGTTTGAACTAACGTTATTCATCAAAAAATGAGTTAGTTGATTCAAACTAACGTTTCCCGGAGCACATTTCCTGGTTCGAATCAGCTGGCGAGCGGAATAGAGTGCGGGCAAGATTATGCTAATGAAGCACGGGATATTTAAATCCCCACTTCATTAGGAATTTTGGTCGGCTACATTTGCATCCCTATTTTGAACTAGGGAGCAAGTGTAGACGTACCCTAAGTGATTGGACAACAAAATGGCAAATGAAATTTAATGTGGATAAATGTAAAGTAATGCACATTGGAAAAAATAAGCCCAACTAGACATATAATATGATGGGGGCTAATTTAGCTACAGCTATATTGGCGTACTATGGATTTATATAAAAGCAATAAGATATTCTCCGTCTTATTCTCTATCCCCTTTTTAATGATTCCTAACATCCTTTTGCTTTTTTGACTGCTGCTGCACTGAGGCAGCATTTCAAAAGGGCAGCACCACACACAGCCTAGGATCAAATAGAGGCAGCGGGGGGTGGGAATTGACTAATTGACTGGACTATCCCATAAGCATTTACTTATCGGATAGTCGACTAGTCCTTAACATCCTTAGTTCTGTGCTGAGTGTCTTCGTGCTGTTTAGGTTTATATATTTCAAACTAGCTATTTTAGGCTTGTTCCTCTGTGCAAACAAGTCCTAAAATAATTAATGCGGGAATTAAGTTTATTTGAGGGTACACTTATGGCAGGAATGTCCTGAGAACTGTGCTCAGTAATCTATTTTATATTTGATATGATTCAAGCTGTTAGCTTTCATTTTCATTAGTGTAAATAACCTTCTTTTTTCTCCTAGAGCCTAATCCACCTATAGATGAAGTAATACAGAAACAAGGAGTTGTGCAGAGGTTTGTGAAATTTCTGGAGAGGAATGAGAATTGCACTCTACAAGTGAGTGAATTGTCCTCTATAAATGAATTGATATTGACTTTGGTTTGAGGATGGGGAATAAAATCTCAGAAGACAAAACTGGGGAGAATATGGTTTTAGAATTGGATTTAGTAATATATAGGCATCAGAGATTTGTAGTCCAGTTGCATTAGATGCCAGCTTATTGCCAGTTACCAGAAATCCTGACTTGGCCTTGAAGGGACTTCCATGCTATTCATTTTGTCATATATTGCTTCAGTGTGAATGGCTGAATAGTGTGAATTCTGTTCAAGAGAGCCCTCAAATTGGAATAGCAAAGTATTGATACAGATGTGTAAGCAAACTGACACAGCATCTGTCCACACTATCTGATTTGAAAATGTGGTTGTGAACATTACACACATCTTGTAAAAGGAAATAAGGAAAAAATGGCAAATCAAAACATTTCTATTTGACCCTCCAGAAAATCTTTATGAAGTTTCGAACAAACAATAGAATTCACCAAGCTCCACCCAACACTTCTTGCCTAATGGAAAATCAGCAGCAGCTGACTTGGGGACACCTGGAGCAGCTGCGGTGCTGCCAAGTTGGTCCCCGCAGCGCCGAGGTGCAGCGCTGCGGGGACCTACCTGGCAGCGCCCCAGCTGCTCTGTCCCAGGCGTCCAGATTCAGCCGCTGTTGAAATTGACGAGCAGCTGACTCCAGGAAGCCCGGGGCAGAGCAGCTCTGCCTCGGGCTTCCTGGAGTCAGCCGCTGATCAGTATCGGGAAGTGACGGAGCAGAACAGCTGGGATGCTGCCGGGTTGGTCCCGCAGCGCTGCCCCTTACCCCCCTGCTCGGCAATAACTACTGCAGTCTGTGGGGTGGGGAGCCCGCTCCCCTCCTGGAAACTCTTGGCGGCGGTGCGGGGCTTCCCCCACTTTCCTGCAAAACAGCAGAGGATTTGCCCTCTGATGCAGTATGGGTCCTGGCAGACCCGTCACAGCCCCCCGCCTGAGTACCTCCCGATACTTTGGCATATCCGATAATCCGGCACCCCCTGGGTCCCAAAGGTACCGGATTATCGGAAGCTTACTGTATATCACTCTTGTATGTAAAGTTAAAGATATGGGTTAGGGAATGGCTTATGGTTGTAAATGTGCAAATATCAATGTCTGGGTGATCACCTGTAAACAGCCTCCTTTGTCCTTTAAGATTAAGAAGTGGTTTGTCTTAGGAAGACCATACCCCGTCACACAGGGTTTGAACGAGTTGAACTAAATTGGCTTAAAACAACACATTTAGTTAAATCAATGCAACTTTCATGTGCAATCAAAACATAAGAGCTTGTCTACTTGTGGAGGAGTTACTGATTTAGCATGTACTCCCTGAATAAGACTAAGCAAGCATGAAATTAAATAAGGAACAGTGATTTAGGAATAACTCCATGTGTAGATACGCCCTAATCATGTAATCAAACCAGCAATCAAACCTAATCCTTTACTGTGGAGACACCCCAGAAAATCAATGTAAGATGTGTCAACTCCAGCTACATCATTGTTGTAGCCGAGATTGCATATCTTATATCAGTTTTTCTTTGCCAGTGTAGACCTGGCCTAAGATGCATAAAAGGTACTAGATTATTTGGTTAATGTTAGTGACTGTTGTCTTTGTAAAAACATAGTAATGAAGATATTTATTTTTAGTATCAAAGAAGAAAAATCTAATTGGATAATAAACTGATAAAAATTCCAAGTACATAAAATCTACAGTTTAAAATGTTTTTGCTTTTCCATTAATGAGTACTGTATGTCTTTTTCTTCAACAGTTTGAAGCAGCTTGGGCTTTGACAAATATAGCATCTGGAACTTTTCTACACACCAAAGTAGTAATTGAGACTGGAGCTGTTCCAGTTTTTATTAAGTTGCTTAATTCAGAACATGAAGATGTACAGGAGCAGGTAAATATTTGTGGTTTTGTAATTTCTAAATAACTGTCCTATTTCTGGATCTTATATGTATGGTTTAAAAAGTTTTGAATGGTAGAATGCGTATTCTAGTTTATTATGACTCTGTAAAAATAAGGTTCCACACTACATGTTCCTTTTTTCCATCTCACGAATGTCTGCTTCTTTTCTGTGATGCCCTTATGCTTCCTCTTCATCCATTTACCTCTTTTATTGCATTCTATTTCCTCCTAAAAACATATTTTATCCTGTGATGCTTACAATAAGTGAGGGGAATCTAAGGCATTGCAACAGAAAAAATAGAATAATTTAACCTCCGAGAGAGCCATATGCTTTCTTGAGTTACCAAATGATCTTATTGTTTCCTTTATCTTTCTTCTTAACTTCTCTTCCATCTCTAGTGTGTCTTGGTGGCAGGTGTCAATGTGGCATTTGAGAGCAGGGACTGTCATTTACTTGTTTGTAAGATGCCTTGCTAATTTTGGAGTTCCTGATGTAACAATAATTTGACTCCTTTTTAGATAGATGTTTGCAGTTTTGTTGCATAGCCAAAGGAGACTTTTTCCTTAATTGTATATCAATAGAGGCTAGGGATGTAATAGTATAGTTGATTAACCAGTAAGCAAAAGCTAATAGACTACGCTCATCTCCTCCCCATGCCAGTAAATTTTTTAGCAGGCTGACCAGCTGCATGGCTTAGTCCTGGCTTGCACCAGATCTGGGACCTACCCCTGCTATGTCTCTGCATTCAAAGTGCATAAGGTAGCCTGGCTCAGTTCCGGCTCGTGACAGGTCTGGGAGCTCAGACATCCACGCCCCTTCCCCTCCTCCCCTTGGACAGGGGCTGCTACCACCTCTGTATCAGAAGCAATAGTGTGGGGTGGCAGGAAGCCGCTCGAGGGGAACAGGTTTTTAAATTGGCTCCCCTTACGGACCAGCTCCTACCTGGCACTCCACACTGCTGACTCGGGTACAAAGATAGCAGCATGAACTGGCAAGGGGCTCCTTGGGAGTGGGGCCAAAGCGCACTGGCTCCCAGCCCCACCTCCAGGTACTATAGAATACTTGAGTAACCAATAAGAATTCATGAGGTTAATCAGCTATTCAATTAACCAATATTTAACATCCCTATAGAGGCTTACAAATCTGCTGATACTCATTTTATATTTATGGATATGAATATCTGCAGACCATTTTGTGGATCACGGACTGGATATGGTTACAACATTTTTATTGCCACAGTGCTCTATATATGGAGAACAGACTTCATTGCAGAGAAAATGCAGATATATTTTTATATTTATTCACACTATAAAATCTGTAATGAAAGATTATATAATTATTCAAATTGATATTGTTTGATATATGGCCATTATAAAGTCTGACAAAAGCTGGCAAGCCCTTTTTGGTTATGATTTAAGAAGTATACAAGTTTGATTTGTGAAAGCTGCACAATAAGAGTTATATAATAATTGTGTTTAGATAACTATAATAATGAGATTTTTTTTTTACTCTATCATATTTGCCATGGGCTGAAAACATAATGCATAGTCTACACTATAAAGTATTTTAAATAAACTTGTATTGTGTATATGTTAACTTATGTTAGCATTTTGCTTTCTAAAGGCAGTGTGGGCTCTTGGTAATATTGCTGGTGACAATGCAGAATGCAGAGACTTTGTATTAAACTGTGGAATACTGCCACCACTATTAGAGTAAGTATTTAAGCCACTATTGTAAGTAAAACATACAGTTCTAGAGAATGGGAACTGTACACTAAAAGTTATTGTATGTGTATGTATATATATGCATTTTAAATAAACATTACATAGGCTTTTTTACTGTCTGTAGGAAATAGCTGAATGTAGATTGTCATTTTTGCTTTATTAGCTCTTAGACAAAATAAAAAACCTGTATCTGTTCCAACACTTGAATATCTAGGCTTAATTTGTTTGGGTTTTTAATTGATTTACAGATGGCATGGTATGGTATTACCACCCTTCTGCTCTGCTGCTGGTGGGGGACTGCCTTCAGATTATTTCTGAAGATACTGCAGAAGTAAGGGTGGCAATACCACAAACCCCTTAAAATAACCTTGTGATGACCCTCTTTCCTCCCCATCTCTGGCAACTCTCTTTTAGGTCAGAACCGTCAGTTTGAGAAACGCTGGTCTCCTCTGTGAAATCTGAATAGTATAGGATAAAAGCACACAAAAGGTCAGATTTCATGGTTCCTGATTTGTTTTTCATGGCCATGAATTTGGTAGGGCCCTACATATAACTCCATCAATATTACCTATACATAAATTTCACGATGCTTATGATGACCAGTGAGCTGCTGTGTCTCAAGAGACCTCACATGCAACTCTTTTAAGTTTTTACTATGCATAAATGTGACATAGATGATCCCTATAAACTGTACATCATTATGACCCCTGAAATTTGACACCCAGAGGCCCCTGGGTTACAGAGTTATTCAGAAAGAGCTGTTGTGAGGGAGGGATAGCTCAGTGGTTTGAGCATTGGCCTGCTAAACCCAGGATTATGAGTTCAATCCTTGAGGAGGCCATTTAGGGATCTGGGGCAAAATCTGTCAGGGATGGTACTTGGTCCTGTTATGAAAGCAGGGGACTGGACTTAATGACCTTTCAATTCAAGGTCCCTTCCAGTTCTAGGAGATAGGCATCACCATTCATTTAAATTTGTATCCTATGTTAATTATTATACTTTTTCAGATGTAGAGGAGCTCTAAGAATTTGTAAAAAAATTTGTAACCTCAGTGATTTGCAAACAACTTGAAAATGACAAACATAGGACAAAGTAAATATCGATTACCTTTCCAGTTTTTGCAGTCCAAACATTGTAGCATTGTGAACTATATTCAGATAATTATAGTCATGAGCTTTTTTACTCCATCATAGGAGTGCTTAAAAAGTAAATTTAGATTTAAAAAAAATTTTAGTAACTTGCTCTAGGGAAATCTTTTTTAAAAAAAGGTTGGTCTGAATGCGTTCCTTTAAATGAAAGTACCTAAGTTATTAAGGAAGGGTCCCCCTTGCTGTTCCTTGCTCTTCCTTTTACCAACGGCTATTTTGCATTACAAGAAACTTACTTGCTAATATTTTTCATGTAAGCAACTGCTTTACTTGCCACAGCAGTGTTATGTAATTGTGAATGAGAGAGGAGTAGCCACTCGGTAGTATATGGGAAAATATGTGGTTCGCAATACGCAATCTATTAAGATGGTCTGTGCCATGAGATTATTTCAAATCAGACAAAAAACAGTGCTTGCAAGAGAAAAACAATTAAATTAGTGCACTTAGGAATTATTTCTAGACTTCTGACAGTACTAACAGTTCTAGGAAAACAAGGGAATACCACTTCTTGGTAATTAATTTAATTGATATTTGTTTTCTTGCTTGGCAGATTATTAACAAATTCAAATAGACTTACTACAACTAGAAATGCAGTCTGGGCTCTGTCAAATCTCTGTAGAGGCAAGAATCCACCTCCAGACTTTAGTAAGGTATGAAAGGTATCAAAATATTTCACTTTTAAAAAAACTTAGAAGGGGAATTGTACTTGCAGTGGGATGTTCTCATGAAGAGAAAATCTTGTAGCTAACCCAGTCGGTCTCCAGGATAAAAGATTTTTTTGCTACGAGAAGATATGTTTGCAGTAGATGCAGATGATCTATTCTTTTCATTCTAAACATGATTTAAATTAAGGGTTTGCCAATAAGTAGCCATGGTTCTGTGTGACACTAGGGATGTAAGTGACTAGTTGAGTAGTCAACTACCCGATAAGCCTATGATAGTCAAGTCATTCATGAGCAGTTGCTGAAGTCATGGCTGTGGGAGGCAAGCCCCCAGCCCTGCCCCTTCTTCTGAAGCCCCACCCACAGGGAGGCAGGGCAGCATGCCATGCACACACTACCCCTCCCAACCATGGGGAGAGGGGGTGAGCAGGTGGGCGTACGCCCTGGGGCATTGACAGGGCAGGCACTGGGGGCAGCAACACTACACCTCAAAACACCTACTACAGGCATTCTGGGGGCAGAATGCAGACAGGGCTTTGCCTGGTGGTTTGGGAAGGCGTAGCCTTCCCCTGCCATACATACTGGATGCCCATGAAGTCACTACTTGACTTAAAAGCTGGTTCCCCCTATCAGCATCTCCAGGGGTCAAGGGAGGAGAGGTACAACGGGGGACTGGGCGCAAGCCAGGACTCAGTTGTCCCGGATGCCTGGTCCCTGATGCTGCACCTCTGCCTTTTAAATGTAGTAAGAGCCGTCCAGCTCTTACTGCATTTAAAAGGCAGAGCCACAGTGGGGTTGGGTTCCTTGGCTGGGAGCTAACCCCGCTGCAGTTTCCCTCCTTATCGACTAATCGAGTAGTTGATGGAAATTCCATCGACTATTCAATTAGCTAATTAAATGCAATTTAACATCCTTACACAATAAAAAAAGGTAAATGTTGCTGTAGTCTATCCAGAGTTTTGTGCATTTCTGCTGACCTTAACGCTACTGTGAAGAATACTGATTCATTTACTATCTATACCAAATCCAGTGTGTATAAATAAGCTCTGTTAATCTTTTTATCATGCTTCCTATAAACCAAAGAATAAACTATTAAAAGTAGTTGAAAAGTGTCACTTTTAACTTTTCTTTAACTTAGTCAGCAATATCTTGCTAGTGAACAAGGTTCTAGTATTTTGCTACAGTTCTTCAGCAGATTGTGGTTGTTTTTTTAACTTTGAAAAATCAATCCATATTCATAATATAAATATTTGTTTGTAAGCAGGGAACATTTTTGTATCTTTATGCTAAAGCTTTTAAATAGTTTATTTCACTGAAGTAAAATCAGTAGGTGTTCTTAAGAGGGGAGTGCAGGCAGGACTTTTGGGTTATAGTCTCAATTCTGCCATTGGCTTTGACCTTGGATAAGTGAATTGCTTGCACTCTCAATTTCCCTTTTTGCAAACCTATTTTCATAGTGAGAGTGATTATTAATGTGCTACTTTAATTTTCCTTTTGTGGGTGGATGTTAACAAAAAGGATGAGGAATTTCCACATATTGCTACTCCTACTTTATAAGATACTGCCTTCAATAATAGCCCTTTGTGCTAGTGCGGAACAAAGGTGCTTTTTGCTACTTACTTATTCCTTTCTTTTAGCAACTGCTACTCAGAAGTTCCTTTGTCTTTCATGATAGCAGCGCTAAAAGGAGGTACAGGAAGCAAAACTAAGTAACAGCTGTCAGATGAAGAGAAAAGGAATCTTAATCCCTGCAAAGAAACCAGTATTCCCAACGTTGACAATTGAGGGGAAAACTGAGGGGTGAGGTGTGACTAAAACTGGGTGCTTCATCAGATAGACTCATATCCATGCGGAGATGGTAGGAGGATGTTAGGTTCCAAGCTCTGCCCAGAGACTGCAAATGAATGGGAACTGAGATAAGACGTTTGCCTGGCTTGGCTCTGAAAACTCAATAGTGTATGGGCAGCTGAGAAATGCATGAACCCTTTTTGTAAGGTGATTATAATAATACAGTTTCTTCAGGTGGATAGGCTGAAAAGCAAGCCTTACCTGATAGTTTTGAAATATGAAATAAATCACATCCTTTTCATGCAAAGAGTAGCATTACTGCAGGGTTGCAGTGTCTTTGTAGCAGACTTTGTGATAAAGTAAAGGTAATTCTTGCAGGATTCTGAATTGTGGTATCAGTCATCTTTAACCTCTGAACATAGAGCAACCCATTCTGAGACTATATGCCTCTGCTGCTGACTATACAATGCATGTTGATAATGTAACGTAACTTTTTTTTCTGTTAGCACAAGAAAAACAGACATTTTAAAACAAAAAACAGAGGAAACATCTAATCATGTATACTTTTTTTTTTTAACCTAGGTTGCTCCTTGCTTAAATGTTTTATCAAGACTGTTATTTAGCAGTGACCCAGATGTATTAGCAGATGCTTGTTGGGCCCTATCTTACCTTTCAGATGGACCCAATGATAAAATACAAGCAGTTATTGATTCTGGAGTCTGTCGAAGATTGGTGGAACTTCTTATGTAAGTGTCTTTAGTCAGCTCTCTATTTTAGAATATTGCCAACATGAACATAGACTACAACGGTGGGCGTACGATATTGATGGGCTGTCCTTTAGGCCAGGGCAATAGTTCTCAACCAGGAGTATCCAGTGGCTACATCAACTGATCTAGACATTTGCCTAGTTTTACAACAGGTTACATAAAAAGCACCAGTGAAGTCAGCACAAACTAAAATTTAATACAGGCAGTGACTTTTGTATACTGCTCTCTATAGCATACATTGAAATGTAAGTGCAATATTTATAATCATTTTATTCATTTTATAATTATATGGTAAAAATGAGAAAGGAATCAACCTTTAATTAATAACATGCTGTAATGTCTGGTTTTGAATGGAAGTAACGTTTAACAGAGTTGAAACTTGGAGTATGGAAGACAAATCACATTAGCCTGGAAAGATTGAAAGTCACTGTTCTAGGGTTACTCTTATTTTTTTTCCTGTCCCCTCATATGGCCTATGTAAAGTGCCTGTTCTTTAGCTCAGGAACACTGGACATAGCTTTAGTTTGAAGCTTTTCAGTGCTGGTTCAGGCTTGATCACCTCCTTGAATTTTTCCTAGGTTGCTTATGAAAGATGCTTCTTTCACCGCATTTTTAACTTGGAAAGTAAGGGATTGTGCTTTAGACATGAATTAGCCTGAAAACTTCAGTTTTTGAATTTCATTGTATTTTTATTTCTTGCTGGTAATAATACAATCTAAGGGATCCACTAGCAGAAACATCAACTGATACTGGGAGCATAAATCCCAGAAATAGACTTGTGCTATTTTTCACATTGTTCCAGTTTACTAGGGGACGCTTCATAGACTGCCCAGGAGGGGAAGAAAACAAAAGGCCACTGTGCACTTTCAGACTGTTGAATAGCAAAAGTATGGATCCCTGAGCTGCTCAGTCAGGACTACTCCCTATGAATAGATGTCTACGGTATCTATAGGGAGAGAGGGTTAGACGTGGCTATTTTTTTCCCCTGTAATGATTGGTGATGAACAGTTTAGTAGACTCAGGTTCAAATTGGAAACCAGGGAATGGAGTGGAGGGGTGTTCATCTTACTGATTTGTAAGAAAGGAATGGAGTCTGCCTCCTAGAAAACGAGTTGGAGAAAGGGAGAAACAATCAACTTCACTGCCTTTCTTTTTAGGGGGGGATTTTGCTCAGTTAATTGTCATTGCCAAAGGCCCAGTTACTCAGAAATTCAGGCAGGATGAAGTCAGTCACATCCTTGATTTGTAGGCATAACTTTCTCTGTGACCAACCATGATTGTTGCAACTTGTACAGGGAAATTATTCCTTTAAAGTCAGCACTTGTATTTAACAGCTGTGGAAGAGAATCTGGGCATACAGTGCAAGATTGCTAGAGAGGCTTTTGTGTAGCCATGGCCATGTTTAAGTCCTATCAGAAGCCTAAAGCCATCCAGCTGTAGTTAGTGTATGAAGTTTGGCAACCTCAAGCAGTTTAACGTTTGTACTCTTTCTAGGCACAATGATTACAAGGTGGTGTCTCCTGCATTAAGAGGAGTTGGAAATATTGTGACTGGTGATGATATTCAAACACAGGTAAGATCAGTTTTTAACTTGAGAAATATTGCTAATTTGGAAAAGAATATAGAATGTTTTTGGAGTAGGAATGAATTGTGCTACACAGAAAATAAAAAGAGGCTGTTGCATTCATATGTTTATCTAGCAACACGTGTTCAGATACTGTAGTGAAAGGGGCCATATAACAATTGACACCTTCTGTGTTACCAGTCTGAAAAGATATTAATAATTTTGGCCAATGAGTTTTACTTGTAATTGCTATGAGGATCAGCTTAATTTAGTCATTCCAGTTCTATGGATAAAATGCTGTTCCATTTCTGAATTTTACTCTTTTGTTTTCCCCCAGATCAATACATTTTCAGTAATTATTAATGGGAGTCATCTATATGTAATCAGGGCTTCACAAGCGGCGGCGAGCCCTGCTCGCCAGCTGCATTGTTTGGCACACTGCGCTGCACGGCTGCACCGGGCTAAAATCTACTCGCCATGGGCGAGTAGATTGCCCTAATTGTCAAGCCCTGTATATAACCCATTTGGACAAAGTGTCATTAGTAGCCATTCTAGTTGTTGTCTTAGAGACATGTGCAAACTGATTCAGAACTTTCTCTCTTTTTCCATAAAAATTTCAGCCATATAGACTGGTCAACATAGACCATAGTTACAGTCCATCTCAGTATAGACCTTATAAATCACAAGCAAGAGACAAACCTTTTATATTAACAAAAGCTTATAAAACAGCTTTAGTTTCCTATATAGGAAGTGGACTCCATATTCTTCTTGTATTTGCTTTATATAGGTGGTATGCCATTTGTCCATGAACCTGGGGTCCTACTTGTATGAAGCTTTCTAAAGATTAGTCAAGTGATGACACTTAATTTGAGGCTCTGCAGATACAGTCCCTGCTTTAAGTAGTGCTTACTATCTAAGGGTACGTCTACACTAGCTCGTTAGTTCGAGCTAGGTAGGGTAATGAGGGCAAGCGGAGTTGCAAATGAAGCCCCTGATTTAAATATCCCGGGCTTCATTTGCATGTTCCCGGGCTCCGCCATTTTTAAATCCCCCCTAGTCCGAATTCCGTGCCCGCGGCTACACGTGGCAGCGGAGTAGGTAGTTCGAATTAAAGATCCTAATTCGAACTACTGTTATTCCTCATTCCACGAGGAATGGCTCTGCCTGCCACCTGAAGCAGCAGCGCAGCATGGCAGGGGCCTAGCTGGGAGCGCACTGGCTGCCAGCCCTGCCCCCAGGGAGTATTTTAGTAACCATGTAAGTGCTAAAAATTGCTGCGTCTATATGATAGCATTTATTTTAGTAATCTAACATCCCTAGTTGTGACCTGGGGCAGAGGATTTGGGTGCAGGGTGTGGAACAGGGTACTGGTGCAGAGGAGGCAGAGGGTTTGGGTTATGTGAGATACGGGTGTAGGAGCTGGGGTTGGGGAGGGGAGGGCAGAGGGATGGGCTGATGTGCTAGAGGCAGGCACTGGCCTGGAGACACTTACCTGGGCAACTTCTAGCAAGTGCCAAGATTTTGTGACAACCTGGGTGTGTCAAAAGAAAAGGGAGGGAGTCAAAGGACTGAAAATAAAGGACTGAGAGATGGAGATATTATCAAACTCAGTGGAAGGAAAAAGAAAGAGGGCTTAGGAGGAAAAGCAAGCTTCATGTTTAAATTGAATAGATGATGGTGCTGCATATGTCATATGTGAAGAGTGATTTTGTTGTTGAGTCACCATCATATAGTTATTGAATCTGCGGAGTATGTTATTTCACCAAAGAATAAGTAAAAGAGAAGACCAAATGGGGGGGAAAAGCACAAATAAAGATGGAGTGATAAGATGTTGTTAAGAGACTGAAGCAGCAGTTGGTGGCAGAAAAAGAATCAGGTCAGGATAAGGCCACAAAAGTTGAGGAGAATGGTTCTGTAGGAATTTGATTTGTATATCCGAGTGCACAATTTGGCCCTTAATAGTTAAATATGTGTGTATTGAGGGTTATTATGGGGAAAATGATACAGGACTCTTTAAGACAGCTTATTTTTGCCATTTGTTTGTTACTGTCATGTTCATTTAGTTGGCTTTTGGATTTAAGTTTCAATGACTTGTGTGTAAACTAGACATATTCTCACTCACCTAAGTTATTTAACAATTTGTATATTAGTCTTTCATCTGCTCCTCTCCCTTCACCCTGCCCCTCCATTACAGCATTCCTGTTTTGGCCTAATTAATTGCAGCTCTCCCCTAATCACCAAATTGTCTATTTCTGTGTCATTATGTTGCTATTAAACTTCTTCATTTTGGAATACAGTCTCTAAGTTCCAAAAAGTATTAAACTATTCTTATAAAGCTTGACTTTCCTGAATTCAACTGTGAACTGTCTTTTTCAACTTAAATTATTTTAGGTAATTCTAAATTGCTCTGCGTTACCCTGTCTCCTTCATTTGCTGAGTAGTCCTAAAGAATCCATTCGAAAAGAAGCATGCTGGACTGTTTCTAATATTACTGCAGGAAACAGAGCTCAGATTCAGGTAATAAAATGTTAGTAATATAACCATCTTCTTTTGAACTAGCAATTTGTGCTTTTTCTCTTTGAAGGAAAAGAAGAGGTTACTCACCTTCGGTGCAGTAACGATGGTTCTTCGAGGTGTGTCCCTGTGGGTGCTCCACGTCTGGTGTCGGGCTGGTCCCGGCGCCGCAAATCGGAGCTTGCCATAGCTGTCATCGACCGGGTCGCGCATGCGCGAGCAGTCTTCGCGCCTTTGAACAGCCGCGCGCAACCCGGTCCCCGCCAGTTCCCCTCGCCGCCATCTGAAAAAGATAATACAACAAGATTCCGTAGCGGGGAGGAGGGCGGGTCGTGGAGCACCCACGGGGACACACCTCGAAGAACCATCGTTACTGCACCGAAGGTGAGTAACCTCTTCTTCTTCTTCAGGTAGTCCCCGTGGGTGCTCCACGTCTGGTGACTCCGGAGCAGTAATCCACTAAACGTGGGCTACGGAATCACTAATGCTGTGGTTTGGCAGCACTGCTGAGGCTAGGGCCGAATCAGAAGCCAAGCGCTGCACTATCGCGTAATGCCTTGAGAATGTTGTGTTGGTAGACCATGTAGCCGCACGACATATGTCACGTAATGGGACTCCTCTGACAAAGGCCGTTGACGTAGCCATTGCCCGCGTAGAGTGGGCTCTAGGCTGTGTTAGAAGCGGTTTCTTAGAAATGTTGTAGCAAGTAGTAATACAAGAGACGATGATCTTTGAGATGCGTTGGGCAGATAGGGCTTGACCTTTAGAGTGTCCCGAGGTGGAAACAATAAGACGGTCCGTTTTCCTAAAATCACGGGTTCTATCTATATAGAAAGCTAGCTCCCTACGGACGTCTAGAGTGTGCAAGAGAGCGTCCTGTCTTGACGTGTGAGGTTTTGGGTAAAAACATGGCAGAACGATCGGTTCATTAATGTGAAACTCAGTACAGACCTTCGGTAGAAAGGCTGGGTGAGATCTCAATGTTACAGCGTCCTTAGTAAAAACTGTATAAGGGGGTGATGACATCAGTGCTGCGAGCTCACTCACCCTGCGTGCCGACGTTATAGCAAGGAGAAAAAGTACTTTCATTGTAAGGACCGGCATCGGTACAGTTGCTAGGGATTCGAACGGCGGTCTTGTTAGGACATCTAAGACCAGGTCAAGACTCCACGCAGGTGGCGGGGGTCTGTATGGTGGATTGAGGTTAACGAGACCTTTAAAGAATCTTGTCATCATGGGATGGGAAAACACTGACTTCCCTTCAATGGGAAGGTGGAAGGCCGCAATTGCTGCCGCATAGACTCTAAGCGATGATATGGAGAGACCAGTAGCCTGCAGCTGGAGAATATATTCCAGTACAACATTCAGTGGTGAGATAAGAGGATCGAGGTCCTTAGGAACGCACCAGTGATTGAATCTCGACCATTTAGATAGGTAGGTCTTTCTGGTAGAGTCTTTCCTGCTATATAGCAAGATGCGCTTTACCTGGTCTGAGCAAAGCATCTCGGACGTGCTGAACCATCTACCATCCAGGCTGTTAGGTGTAGGGTGTCCAGCTTCAGATGAAGAAGGAAGTCGTCCTGTTGCGACAGCAGGTCCGGTAAGTGAGGAAATCGGTGCGGTATACGCGTCGACAGCTGCAGGAGGGTTGAATACCACGGCTGCCTGGGCCAAGCAGGGGCTATGAGTAGTACTCGTGCCTTGTCTATGACAATCTTCTCTAGTACCCTGGGAATGAGCACAACAGGGGGGAATGCATATAACAGTGATGTTCCCCAGTGAAGAAGAGACGCATCTCCCAGGAAGTGAGTGCCCGCTTCTGCTCTGGAACAGTAAGCTCTGCATTTCACATTGATTTGCGGGGCAAAGAGATCTACCCCTGGTTGACCCCAGCGGTGAAAAGGGGGTAGGAGGACATCCGTGCGAATTACCCACTCGTGGTCCTGATAAAAATGTCTGCTTAGTGCATCCGCGATAGTGTTGTCTGCACCGGGTAAGTATGCAGCCACGAGAAAAATGTCGTTTCGAATGCACCACTTCCACAGTCGAACTGCCTCTGCACAAAGGGATCTGGAGCGAGCACCGCCTTGTCTGTTCACATAATACATCGCTACGATGTTGTCTGTTAGAATCCTTGTCGTTGTGCCTTTTATGTGCCGCTTGAACCACCTGCATGCATGAAATACTGCCCGCAGCTCTAGGAGGTTGATGTGCAACAACATCTCTGCTGGGGACCAGCGGCCTTGAGCCTTTTCGGTACCCATGTGAGTGCCCCAGCCCATGAGAGACGCGTCCGTGGTTATCTCTCTTACGGGTTGCGGAGCGTGAAACGGAACCCCTAATAACATGTTGCTGGGGTTGACCCACCAGTGCAGGGACTGTTTGACCTGCATGGGGATCACCACGGTTTTGCGAATGCTGTGCTTGACTTGCACAGGAATCACCACGGTTTTGCGAATACTGTGTCTGACAGGATTGTACACGGTGGTCAGCCAATGCTGTAGGCACCGTAAATGTAATCTTGCGTGCCGCACGATGATCGTAGTAGTCGCCATATGACCCAAAAGCTGCAGGTATACGCGGACTGGTAGTATAGGGGACTGCAAAATCGTTGTCACCAAGTCTTTTATGGCCTGGAAACGCTCTACCGGCAAATGCACTCGCTCCTCGAGGGAGTTCAGCCGAGCTCCTATGAAGGTAAGGATTTGCGTCGGTTGCAGTCGGGATTTTTCTGTGTTTACAACAAGGCTGAGAGATTTGAATAGAGCTAGAGTGACCATCACCATATGAGAGGTCTCTGCGTGAGTGCGACCTTTGATCAGGCAATCGTCTAGGTAGGGGAAAATTGCGACTCCTATTCTGCGTAGATGGGCCGCTACTACCGCTAGCGTTTTGGAGAATACCCTTGGTGCCGATACGAGGCCGAACGGAAGTACTTTGAATTGGAAATGGCTGTCCCCTACCACAAAGCGTAGAAATCATCTGTGTGCTACATGGATTGAGATGTGGAAATAAGCGTCCTGTAGATCTAGGACTGCGAACCAGTCTCCTTTGTTTAGTGCCGGCATGATCTTGACCAGCGTGGTCATTTTGAAGCGCTGTTTGCGAATGAAGCGATTTAGACCTCTTAGGTCGAGGATTGGCCTCCAACCCCCTGACTTTTTGGGAACCAGGAAGTACCTGGAGTAGAACCCTTTTCCCCGAAACTCCTTCGGGACCCGTTCTATGGCACCTATGCTTAGAAGGTGGAGGATTTCTTCTCGAAGAATGGTCTCGTGAGATGGGTTCACGATAAGGCTAAGGTAGGAGGGGTAGTGGGGGGAACTGAAATGAATGGGATCGAGAGGCCTGATGTTATCAGTTCTAGGACCCATCGGTCCGACGTGATGCTGGCCCATTGATGTATGTAGGGCTTCAGCCGGTGGTTGAATGTGCTGGAAACAGGCTTCTGTGTGATGACCACTGGAGGCATGTTCGAGTCCTTGGCATAGGAGTCAAACCTGCTGCCTAGGAGCTGGTCGGGTTGGTGGGCGATTTTGTTGTTGGCGTTTGCGTTGCGGACGCTGTTGGAATTTGGGCTGTTCAGGTCCACGCTGCTGTTGCTTATATGATGAATAATCGTACCTCCTTTGGAATGGGTAGTATCTCCTTTGCCTGAAGGGCGGCGTGTACATACCCAAAGTTCTGAGGGTAGTACGTGAGTCCTTCCCCGAGTGTAGAATTCCTCGACTTTGGTCTGTAACTCCTTGGGAGCTCCTGCCGACAACAGCCATGAGGCTCTGCGCATAGCGATGCCTGTAGCCATGGCTCGCGCTGCGGTGTCCACTACATCAGCGGCGATTTGAAGGGATGTTCTGCATGCCGCGAATCCTTCTTGAACTACAGCTTTCAGAAAGGGTTTCTTACTGTCCGGAAGGTGTTGCATGAGTTCAGGAAGCTTGGAATAGTTATCAAAATTATGATTTGATAGAAACGCAGCATAGTTAGCAATGCGGAGGAGTAAGGTTGAGGAAGAATAGACCTTACGTCCGAACGAATCTAGTTTTTTAGAATCCCTATCCGGAAGGGAGTTCCTGAAGTGAGGAGTCTTTGCCTTATGGCGGACTGCGTCGACGATCAAGGAATTAGGCTGGGGGTGATTAAAAAGAAAGTCCAGACCTCTCGATGGTACGAAATATTTCTTGTCCACTCTTTTGTTAGTAGGTGGCACTGATGTTGGCGTTTGCCAAATATCTTCAGCCACCTCCATAATGGCTTCATCTATCAGTAGGGCAATCTTCCGCTGCTGTTTCGGGTGTAAATTTTTGAACAGTTTATGTTGCTTTCTTTGGGTCTCAGTAAATTGCACCTCTTGGGATTGTGCTACACGTCTAAAAAGATCTTGGAACTCCTTTAGGTCATCAGGGGGTGACGACTCATTCGGAGTTATAGCTTTATCAGGCGAAGGTACTGAAGAGTTAACATTAGGTGACCTGTCTGGTTCTGACTCAGAAAGTTGTCCCTCCTCCAGGTCTGATTGCTGCGATCGAGGGGTCGGGGATCGTGGAGGCAATACAGGCCTCAGCGAGGGCTGCTCCTGCGGTCTAGAATGTGTGGAACATGGACTGATTGAGCGACAGGAGCATGGTGACCTACAGCGAGATCGCGACCGACTACATCGAGAAAATTCGTCATAGTAACGACTATGATAGTGCGAGGCATGCCGAGCAGAGTGTGCAGGTGACGAGTCTCTAGAGGATCTAGCACTGCCATGCCTGTCATAGTACGAGCGCCGTGGTGAGTGTGTTAGGGAGTGTTTGGAAGGAGATCGAGACCTGGAACACCTGTGATGCGAACAGCTACGCTCCCTATGGTAGTGATGATGAGATGACGCACTGCGATTGTAATGTTTCCTATGAGTCGCAGGGTGGTCAGCATGAGTAGGGAGGTGAGGGGATGCCTCTGGAGAGGGTGAGAGAGAAAACACCCGGGCATCTGATTTGGATGGTGCCTTAGAAGTCTGAAATGGCAGCTGTTCCTGACAAGAGGGCTGCAGGGTTGTAGGTTCAGTGGAGTGTGATGAGGCAGACATTTGGTCTGTAGCCTGCACTCCCGGTGCGCACGGTGCTGAGGACAGCTCCCTGCGAGGAGAACTGACAGAGGAGGCTGGTAGAGTCGGCACCGGGAGCGTGGGTGCCGATGGAGCTGGCCCTTTAAGAGGCTCCTGCGGTGCCGACGGCGGTAGCGGCTTGGACGTGCCGGGCGGCTTTTTTGCTGCCGGTGCGCGGGCTGCCCTGGGACCAGAGGCTCCCGGCTTCCCTCCTGCGCTGCCTCGCGGCTGAGGGGCTATTGGCAAGGACTTAGCAGGAGAGGCTCTCTTCCTCTTTGGGGAAGGTACATTCGGGGAAGGAGCCCTCCGCTTTTCCAAAGTGGGGTCTGAGGCAGAGGTTCCT